TTACATGGATACACTAATCCCTACTCAACTGAATATTTGAGGGGGATTGTTTATAGATCTATTGGTTTCCTAGCTTTTAAGGATCACTGTCCTTCATTTTCCGATATCCTGAGAACTGCTGTTCTTAGGATTTTGTTTTTTTTTTTTTCTGCGCACTTACATGGGCCTCAAGGGTTCTTTGGGCATTATTATTGTTATTGTAATAGACTTTAATTTTTAGAGCAGTTTTAGGTTCACAACAATATTAAATGGAAAGTATAAGCTGGGTGCTGTAGCTTACACCTGTAATCTCAGGACTTTGGGAGGCCAAGGTAGGTGGATCTCTCGAGTCCAGGAGTTTGAGACTGACCTGGGCAACATGGTGAAACGCTGTCCCTACAAAATATCAGCCAGGCTTGGCGGCATGTGCCTGTTATCCCAGCAGCTCAGGATGCTGAGATGGAAGGATTGCTTGAGCCCGGGAGGTGGAGGTTGCAGTGACTGACGTATAATTGCACTACTGCACTCCAGCCTGGCGACAGAGTGAGACCCTGTCTCAAAAAAAGGAAAGTACAGAGAGTTCCCATTTACCCCCACACCCACCCACACAAACAACTTCCACCACTATCAACAACCTGTACCTGAGTAGTACATTTGTTAAAATCAATGAACCCACTATGACATATAATTACCAAAGGCAATAGTTTACATTAGGGTTCTGTCTTGGTGTTGACAAATGTATAGTGACATATATCCACCATTATATATCATATATATCATACAGAATAGTTTCATTGACCTAAAAATCTGTGATGAATGTGCTCTGCCTGTTGGAAACCACTGATTTATTTATTTATTTTTTTTTTACTGTCTGCATAATTTTGCCTTTTTAAGAACATCACATAGTTGGAATCACATAGTATGTAGCTTTTTCAGACTGACTTCTTTCACTTAGTATATGCATTTAAGTTTTCTCCATGTCTTTCCACTGCTTTATGGTTTTTTCTTTTTAACACTGAATAACTATATATTTCCTGGATTTACCACAATTTATCCATTCACCTGCTGATAGACATTTTGGCTGCTTCCAAGTTTTGGCAATTATGGACAAAGTTGCTATAAATGTCTGTGTGCAGGTTTTCATATGTACATAAGTTTCCAACACATTTGGGCAAATACCAAAGAGTGCAGTTGCTAGATTGTATAGTAAGAGTATGTTTAGTCTTGTAAGAAACTGCTGAACTTCCAAAGTGTCTACAATTTTGCATTCCCACCAGCAGTGAATGAGAGTTCCTGTTGCTTCACATTCTTTTCAGCATTTGATGGTGTCAGTGTTTTGGATTTTGGCTATTCTGATGGATATGTATTAGTGTCTCATTGTTTTAATTTGCAGTCCCCTAATGACATGTAATGTGAAGCATCTTTTCGTATGCTTATTTGCTATATATATGTCTTCTTTGGTCAAGTGTCTGTTCAACTCTTTTGCCCATTTTTAAAATTGCATTGTTCATTTTCTTATTGGTGAGTTTTAATATTTCTTTGTATATTTGAATAACAGTCTTTTAACAGATAAGTCTTTTGCAAATATTTTCTCCCAGTCTGGCTTGTCTTCTCATTCTCTTTAATCATATATTTTTTATAGTTTCTTAGTTGTTGGAGGAGAGAGGGTAACTCTAGTCTTCTGTTATTCAATCTTGGCTGGGGATGGAAATCCTTGTAAGTTGTATTTGAGAAATTTAATGACAGTCTGATTTTCTTGGCTTTGTAAGTTATTTTTACCGAGGATTTACTTTTCCCTTTTTGTTTAAAGTCTAATTGTTTTACTAAGCTATGTCTCAGAGTTGATCATTCCAAGTCACTTTTTCTTGGTACCTGAGGCGCCCTTCAATATATAGGTTATAGTTTCTTTTATTTCCAGAGGTTTTCTTGGATTGTATTTTCAAGTATTTGGTTCCATTGCTTTAATTTTCTTCCTCATAGACTTCACTTATGCATGTATGTTGTGCCCCCTTGGCCTATCTTTCATTCACCTACTTTCTCTCTGATGCTTTTGATTTCATTTGTACACTCCTAATTCTTTCCATGCTTTTCATTAATGCCTTTTATTAAAATTTCACTTGAATCTATTCTTTCTTGACAACTTGTAGTTGCTTTTTCATATCCTCAAGTGCTTGGCTGCTAATATTCAATTCAGTTTATACTGTAATGTTAACTGTATCCTTTAGCTCCATGGTTGATTTTTTTTTTTTTTTTTTAGGGGGAATAATTTTCATCAGCTGAAATGCTTCAAGTCTCACTTTATTTCTTGGTTTTTGTTTTTGTTTTTGAGACAGAGTGTCACTCTGTTGCCCAGGCTGGAGTGCAGTGGCATGAGCAGAGCTCACTGCAGCCTTGACTTCGGGGCTCAAGCAATCCTCCTGCCTCAGCTACCCAAGTAGCTGGGACTACAGGCATGTCCCACCATGCCTGGCTAATTTTTAAATTTTTTATAGAGATGAGGTCTCATTATGTTGACCAGGCTCATCTCAAACTCCTGAGCTCAAATTATCTTCCCACCTTGGCTTCCCAAAGTACTAGGATCACAAGCATGAGCCACCGCGCCCAGCTGTTGCTGTTTTTTTTTAACAGTAGTTTAGATTAATATGGTCTACTATTTTCTAATTTTACTGATTTGTTTTTGAATAAGGTTTTCATTCAAGAGCGTCTCTTTTTCTCTGCCTTCCTCAATGCAGTTTTTTGTTCTTCTTCTGTGCTCTTCCTCTACTTATCAAAGGATTCTCTCTCCCTTTCCTCTTCTCCCTCTCTTCTTATTGCAGCAAAAAACATAAAATTTACCATCTTAACAGTTTTTAAGTATACAGTTCAGCAGTATTAAGTATATTTATATTCTTGTGAAAGAGATCTTAGAACTTTTTTATTTTGCAGAAGTGAAACTTGGGCTAAGTTTCTTTGTATGCCTTGTGACTTATTGTTGTTGGTATTGTTGAGGCTTGGGCATTTGAATAAATAGCCAGTTGTCTTTACAGACTGCTTCGTGCAGGGGGAGACCTTCACCATTCAGCCTAGTTAGAAATTTCATGACCTCCCAAACCTGTTCTGGAGATTTGTCTTCTCTGGAGTTGTGCATGTGCCTTTAGTTGTTTCCTGAGCCCCTTGTCCCTACTTCTTTTCAGAGCCCATAATCTCTTTCTTCCCCTGGTTTCTTACTGCGGCTCTAACATGCCATGGTGATCACATCTGTTTTCAGTGGCTTCCAAACAAGGCTGTCAGTCCTGTCAGCCTTCTGAGTCATGCAAGACAGAAAATAGTCCCTCAGACAGCCCCCACACTACTCAGAACATTGGACACATGGTCCACTCTTTTGTTTCCATCCCAAGAGAGGATCTGTGGTGTGGGAGAAGCCCTATTATGTCAGATAGGGAAGGATGTAAATGAGACCACAAAACATCACAAAGTTTCCTTTCCCATTTACTGGAAACCCTTCTTGGTTTCATGCTGGTCTAGGTACTATATAGCTTTTCATCTGGTCTCTACAGTTCTCTCAAAGGTGTTCTGGTCCATATATTGTTGTTAACTCATTGTCTCTGTGGGAGAGTAAGAAGCTAAAGTGAAGCTTTCTAGTTCTCCATTTCCAGAATGATGGTGTGGTGTTGACGGAAGGGAGGAATTTATAATATTGTTTGGACGGGTTGGCATTCTTCACAGCAGTGTCTTCAAGGAGTACCACCTTTTCTCTATATATCTGATTCTTCTCCAGAAGCACAGCTTCTCTGAGGCTGCCAAGCCTCTTGCTTGTAGTCAAGTGCTGAGAAATGTCAAAATCATGACCCATGTTCCTTATTCGGCATTTAATTGGAGTTTTTATTTTGGAGGTGATTTTTTTGTGCTTCATCTAATTCTTCCATGTCCCTTGATTATTATTATTATTATTTTAACCAAATCTATTAAGCCTCCTCTCCCTTGCTTTCCCTACTCACAGGCTTGCAACAGTTTACAATACTGGGAGTTATAGTTATTTATTTAATTACAGGTCATTGGAAAATTTTTGTAATAACCCTTGTCTCTTAGTAATGCTGAAGGTCTGACTTATATGTATTTTATTTTCATTCTTTTTATTGGTTCTGTGGTTCTTTGGGGAAGCTGTGTGGTTTCACCATTTTCCTCCAGACCTGGAAGTCAGCCCCATATTACCTCAGTATGGGTAAAAAGGCAACTACTATTTATATTATTGTGGCTCATATCCAGGAGCCGCAATAGAGTATGAGGTTCCTACCTTATCCAGGCTGTGCTGTTCTCTGCAGGTTCTTGAGCAGGCCAGAGTGGAAATCCCCCTGTTTCCCTTCAGCATTGTTCAGTTCTCTTTTAAGGCCTTTTCACCTATCCTCACCGAGGAGATGAACAAAAGGGTAAGTGGATGAGTTCTGCTGAATGATTTATTTAGTGACTTTTTGTAACCTCTTATCATTAAGGAAAGTAATACATGCTTTATTTAATTTGTTGTGTCTTTCTCTAGATTTTTACTATCTGCATATTAACATCTAAAAATATTTTTATAAAAATGGGAATCAAACTATGCATACTGTTTTGCAACTTTATTTTTTCATTTAACAGTATATCTTGTACATCTTTCTGTATCACTACATATCTTATTTCCCTTGTTTTTAATGGCTACATAATATTCTGCTACATGATATACCTATTAACAGCATTTGTACTTTATACACTTTTGCTGTTGCAAATAATACTTCAGTGAACATCCTTGGACATTTGGCAAGTATTTATGTCAAAAACATCTTTGATGAATAATCCCATGCGTTGACTCATGATTTCATTTCTCTTTTCACATTCATTCCCATACTATATTCTGTTGTTTTTCCTACAGATGAGGATCAAGTGGACAGAGATATCAACTGTCTATGCTGGGCCATTTAGCAAAAATTGCAATCTCAGGGCTCTGAAGAGGCTATTTAAGAGCTTTGGCCCAGTCCAGTCAATGACTTTTGTTCTTGAAACCCGTCAGGTAAGACTGGAAAATTCAGATTTCAATTTTCTAGATTAGTGTTTCACATTCAGGTGACTGCTTGGGCCATGCAGATAGCAAATATTCCTGAAGTAAGCTTGATTGCTACCAACTGGAGCGCGAGACATACGCTAATGAGAGCAATTGTTGACCCACAAGAATGTATACCCATTTTTTGTTGTGTGTGTTTAAAGAATTGAGACATCTGGCTGGGCGTGGTGGCCTATACCTGTAATCCCAGCACTTTGGGAGTTTGAGGAGGGAGGATTGCTTGAGTCCAGGAGGTCAAGACCAGCTTGGGCTATATAGTGGGACCACATTGCTACAAAAAATTTAAAAACAAGAATTGAGAACTCTGTCAATTTTCATATGCTGGCTCCCATTTTCTCAAATATCAGGCCATGCGGAAAAATATGTCTGCTGGTTGAATATAACCTATGGTCCTTATGATTGTATCTGGCTTTAAAAGATAAAATGCCCTTTCAAAAAGAGAAGTAACTTTCATATCTTAGAAAGTTACTTCTTTTTTTACAGAGTAGGCTCATGGCTTGCTTGGTTAAGATACAGGAGGAAGATTATGGGAGGGCTTTTGTTGTTATTGTTATTAGTTCTCTTATCTCTTAGGGTAAGTTTTTGGTATTGTAAGTTTGTATTTACATAAAAGCCCTTTAAAGAGATTAGTTTTACTTTAACAAAAATAATGCTTGGATATGGTTTTAAAAATTTATATAGTTCAAAAGGACTTCACAAGTTAAGTCTCCATCTTCATAGTCATAACAATACCATATCAATAAAGTTTATAGATGAAGCAATAACATCATAAGCATATAGAGACATAGAAGAAATCATGAAAAGGATTTAAAAAGAATTAAAAATGGAAACAGTGTAATAGGATGTTTGTAGAATGATATACAATAAAGGTAACAATGGAGGCCTCCCAAGGGAAGAATTAGGCAGCTAGCTAATGGGATTAGGGGAAGACTTTACTGTAAATATATTGTTCCTTTAGAATTCGGAACTAGGTAACTATTAACTGGTGTATTACTATGTATGAAAGTGAAGTAAAAATACTTCTAAAGTGATGTAAGTGCAGGATCCTAGATATTTTTAAATGTGCTGTCTCTAAATTTTTTAATTTTTTTTTTTTTTTTTTGACACAGAGGCCCAGGCTGGAGTGCAGTGGTGCCATTTTGGCTCACCACAGCCTCTTCCCTCCAGTTCAAATGATTTCTTGTGCCTCCCAAGTAGCTGGGACTACAGGTTTGCACCCCTACGCCTGGCTAATTTTTGTATTTTTAGTAGAGACGGGGTTTCACCATATTGGCCAGGCTGGTCACGAACTCCTGACCTCAAGTGATCCACCTCCCAAAGTGCTGGGATTACAGGTGTGAGCCACTGCACACAGCTTCTAAATCTTTTATTAATGGCTTTTCTATGACTAAAAATACAAATACAAAGATTGTCCCTGAGAAGATGGATTGGGGGATGAGAATATAGCAAGGGACTATAACATCTTCCTAAGTCTTTCTCTTGGTCCCTTTTTTTGGTTGCGGGGGTGGCGGGTAAAATACATATAACATAAAATGTACCTTTTTAACCATTTTTAAGTGGCATTCAGTACATTGACATTGTGTAGCTATCACCACCATCTATCTCCAGAACTTTTTCATCATCCCAAACTGAAATTTCCTATTAAGCAATAATTTCCTATTACCCCTTCCCCCAGCCATTGTTTTACTTTCTGTCTTTATGAATTGGACTACTCTGTATACCTCACATAAGTGAAATCATATAGTATTTGTCCTGTTGTGTCTGTTTTATTTCATTTAGAATGTCTTCAAGGTTCATTCATGTTGCAGCATGTATCAGAATTTCATTTTCAAGGCAAAATAATATTCCA